GCGCCCGCGCCGTTCGTGGGGCGCGGCGCGCACGGCGCGGCGCGCGGCGGCGCGCGGCCGTTGCCGTTGCCGGGGCGCGGCGCGCCGTGGAAGAAGCCCGGCGCGCCCTGCGCGGCCGCCGCGGCCAGCGCAGCCTGCGTGGGGTAGTCCCAGCGGTCCGCGTAGAGCTGCTGGCGCTCTGCGGCCGCGGGCGCGACGAGCATGCCGGTCACGGGGTCGATCAGCAGGCCCTCTGCAGCCTGCAGCAGTTCGTAGGGCAGCGCCTCCGGCGCAAAGTAGTCGCCGGCCGCCGCGAGCTGCAGCAGCCCGCCCCCGCCGCCGACGCCGCCGCTGGGAGGCGGCGCGACGAACACATACTGCCCGCCCGGCCCCGCGGCGCCGAGCGCGTCGGGCGCGAGCGCGGCGCCGGCGCCCGCGGGCGCGTACTGCGCGACGCCGCCCGCGGCCTTGGCGGCGGCGGCGGCGCTGCCGTTGCTGCTCAGCGGGCTGGGGGGCTGGCTGTAGTGGAGGCTCGACTGGGAGGGGGTCGCATATGACGAGGTGCTCGCGGCCAGGTTGGTGTACCCGCTGGTGCCCCCCACGCTGCCGTCGACCATCTGCATGGGCGCGAGCTGGTCGCCGCGGCCGGGCCGCGCGGCGCGCACGCCGTCGGGGCCAAAGTACACAGACCCCGTGGGGCACCAGCTGTGGCGGCGGCTCGAGCCGGCGTTGGGCGCGCGGGGCGCGCCCGCGACGAAGGCGCCGCCGTGCGGGGCCGCGCCGGGCGCCGCGGCGGCGGCCCAAGGGGGCGCCTGCTGCCGCTGCGCAAGCGGCACCTGCATCTGAGCCGCCAGGGAGGGCTGCGACTGCGCGAGGTGTGCCTGCTGGAGGAGGCCGCCAGCGGGAAGCTGCCCGGCAGCCGGGTCGCCCAGGCCCAGCACCGCCAGGCGCTCGGCGATCGCCGCCGAGGCCAGACCCATCTGGAGCGCGGCAGCGTTGACGCCGCCGCTGGGGGTGCCGGTGCCGCCGTAGCCGTTGGGCGTCGCGCGGCCGCTCTGGATGGGCGCAAACACGGCGCCGGCCGGCAGAGAGGCCGCTGCAGCGGCCTGCTGCAGCTGCTGCATCAGCGCGGGGTTGCTGTCAAAGTTGCCAACGCTGCCACGGCGCACGGCGCGGGGGTCGGCCCCTGCGCTGACAAACATGCTGTGGCGGCGCGCGCGCGGCGCGCGCGGCGCGGTGGGCATCAGCATCGGCATGGCGCCGCCCCCGGGGAGCATCTGCGGCGACAGCGGCGCCAGCGACGCCTGATGCTGCGGCACCTGTAGCTGCATCATCGGCGGCTGTGGCCCCGAGGGGCCCACTGCGGCGGCGGACGCCGGCAGGGATTCCCAGGGATCCTCCCCAATCACGTACGCCTGCAGGGACGCCAGCGCGTCTGAAGAGTCGCCGTCCATGCCAAGCGCTTGCATGCCCATGGCCGCGGCCGCGCTCGCGCGGCGCGCGCGCGCTGCTGCCGCGGCGGATGCGCCGTCTTGAGGGTGCGTGTGCGCGCCGAGCTGCTGGGGCAGCAGCGGGGGCATCGCCAGGCCGTTTGAGACGACGATCATGGGCTGGCCGTGCGCGTGCTGCCTGGTCATCGCCTGCTGCGCCACCGCCTGCGCCGCCTGCTGCTGGTCGAGCGCGGAGCCGTCGTACAGGCCCGCAGCAAACCCGGCCGCCAGCGCGTTGGACGCCGCGGGCAGCATGGCCGGCGCGTCCACGCCGAACCGGCGAGCGGGAGGGCTGTGTATCAGGGGCTGCGGCGCAAAGATGGTGGTGGCGCAAGTGTGATTGCGGCGGCGCGGTTGCCCGGCGGGAAGCGCACGCGCACCGTACCGTTTCGCCCGACAGGCGCCGGGCCGCGCGCAAGGCCAGACCCGAGGCCGCTGCTACCTACCTCAGGTATTGCGTTGAGAAACACCGCGTCCGCGCCGGATACGAATGGGACGTCTGCCGGTGCGGGGGGGCGATGGGGAAAATACGTCGGGATAGTGCGGCCGCCCCTGGACACAAAAACATATGAATGCGCACAATAAACCTTATATGATAGGGTTCAAGCCCAAAACAGGCGAAAGGCGCGGCGGCCGATAAAGGCCCCACGCTCGCAATCCAATCCGCTCGCACTCTCCAGCGCTCACCGGCTACTAGAGCGTGTGCCATGGGTTCATTGATGCTTCGAAGGCTTATAAGTGTTCGGGCTGGGATCTATTCAGGGGCACCCGGGGCGCTGCGTTCAGTTTGGGAAGGGATTATAAGCTCGTGTTGAATGGCAATATAGAGGGACAGCTCTGGTAAGCTGGTCAATGTTTTAAGGCTCGTAAGAGCGGACGTGCTGTGAAATGGAGCGCGGCGGAAACAGCACAAGCGTGCAGGCTCCTGTGGGCAGCCGGCGGGCGTTCGCGTCGATCACGCAACCACTGGCATCGGAAGTCTGCTCATTCCCTTTGGGGCGGCCAGCATCCCACTTGAAGAAAGCGGTGAGAATTCCATTACAAACACACGACCAAGTTCCGTAAGGGCTATTGACTCCGTTCAGGACGCTGCGGCGCCCGGCCCAGCCTGACAAAGCTTGTGCGGGAGACCTGACCAGCGAGGAGGGGCAGGTCATAGAAGCGCAGCGCGCATGTTGGTGTGTGTGCTGGTTTGCAAGCACCAGTCATGGGTGGCGACATAACTTCGGCTCCGACCCCCCCCCTCCCACACACAAACGGACGTGCGCATGCAAGCGCACACATCCGTTTGCCTGCGCATGCCTCATGCCGCACCTGTTGGCAGGCCGCGTCGCCCGCAGCAGCCAAGGAAGGTGCCGCCATCTTGACAGCGAGCTGCAGCGCCGCCGCACGCGCCGACAGTGGCACACCTCCACGCGCGCCGCTGCTGGCCCCAGTGCCGACCGCCGCTGAGGCCGTCGCGCTCCTGGAAAGCACCGATGCAGTCGCAGGGGACGCCCAGGCACCCAGCGGCTCGCCTGCGCCACGCGGCGCAGGTGCCTGTGGCGAGGCCAGGCTGCAGCGTGAGGCGAGGTGGCCCCTGAGGTCGTGCATCTGGCTGCACAGCTGCTCGTACGAGGGCACAAATTGGCCGCCACCTGGCCGCTGCTCGCGCTCCTGCTGGTCAAGCAGGTGCTGCTGCTGCTGAAAGTGACGCAGCCTGCGAGACTGGCCTGGCGGGGCCAGCGAACCCCACTGCTTGTTGTCCTGCTGCCGTCCGCCGTCACCTGCGCCCCACACCCCCAGACCGTCGTGCTCAGCTGACACGTCTTCCTGCTGTCCTGCTGCCACGAGGCTTGTGCGGATGGGGGGCAGCAGGGTGTGCGCCGCCGCACCTTGCCCCCCGCACGTCATCCCACCACACTCCTCGCCCAGCTGCTGTGCGTGCGTCCTGGCGGCCGGCAGCCGCTTGGCATGCGCCCAACTGAGGTCGGAGCTACGGGCCAGCTGGGGGCCGCGCACGTCGCCTCTTGCGTCTGCCACGCCCGCGCCTGCCTCCTCCGCAGCTGTCTGTGCACCTGCGCTCTGGGTGATGAACACCTTGTCCGCGGCGCGGTCACCCCTGCTGTCACCACAGCCGCTGCCCACGTCGCTGTCCTCGGCTTGCTGCTCGTCTGGGTGGACCGTCTCAAACTGCACGAGCGCGTGGCTCCTCTTGGGGTGGGGTCCCAGCCGCTCCACCAGGTCCTCCAGGATCTGAAAAGTGGAGTGAGGCCACGTCATTCACCTGACGTTGATCATCACGTTGCTTTGGTGGCTGCGTCCGCGTCTCCATGGCAGGCCACTTGCAGCGCAGCGTGGTGCGGCTGCTGCGATGGTGCGCCGCCCCATGCACGTGGCGTCGGCCCCATGCTTACCTCATCCAACGCCTCCAATCCCATGGGCTGGCTGAGCGCCCAGTACGCCGCCTCTCCTTCTGAACACGCTGCTGCCGGCTGCTGTTTCTGCTGCCGCTGCAACAGTTGCACGTTTCCAGCATCATCGGCTCGCTGGACCGCCATACACTCGGCCGCAGGGCCCGCCCTGGGCGACCCAGGAATCAAGCGTGCGAGTGTAATCACCCAAACTTTGAAATGCACGACCGCTAACGTGTCCCTTCCCTGACACTGCCCGCTGCCAAGGTCACACGGCTCAGCGGGTTGCAATGGCAGTTTGCATCATTGCAGCCACATGGCCACACATCACCTGGCTGTCGTTCTGCTCTCCTCGCCACCCATGGGGTCTCTCTGATAAACTTAGATGCCACAGCTGCCACGCAGACGAATCTCTGCGGTCCTGGCTAGGTCAAACGCGAGATTAAATGCCTGTGGTATCATGAGAGTGAGCGAGAAGGCTATATTCGAACGATATGAGCGTTAAATATATTTACACTTGATCACCTCGGTTCACCAATAAGACTTCTGCATTGTGCGCAGCGTGCATCTCGGTGAGGCAGCACCTGGACTATCGAAAAGCTATAGATCACCATGAGAGGTAGCATTGATGACCTGTCAGCGATACGGCAAGAGGCGGTGGAGCAAACGCTGGCGCTTGACGCGCTAGAGGCCTTGCACGTGCGTACGCACGTGCAGGCGCGTACAGCGGCGCGCGCCAATGGCTTGTGATAGGCCAGGCATGCGATTGGCTGCCAGCGTACGCGTCCATAGGGACACCGAATCTTAGCCAGTGGCGCTGCACTGCACATAGGGGTGCCTTGGTACTGCCGTGCAACGGAGAGCCAAGTACTTCTTTCGGGCTCTGCAAGCAGGCAAAGCAGCCGCCTCTTGCTGTCTTCAAATCAACCCGTATGGCCCCTGCGCAGGTCAAGGCCGTGCTGTCGGCTGCCCTTGAAAAGCTCGCCCTCATCGGCGTGATCAACGTGGACCCAGCTGCCCAGGCGCAGGCGCTGACGGAAAGCGTCGGCGACGAGATCGGCCGCATGATATCGGCGCAGCAGCAGCTGGAGCGGAGGTTTGAGGAGCTGGTGGCGGCGCAGCATGAGCTGCGGGGCCAACCCAACAAGATCAAGCTGCAGGAGAATGAGGCACGCGGCTTCTGCAGCTCGCAAGGGCGGGACTTGCCGGGCGGGAGCAGCAGCGTCCCCTGGGCCCAAGCGCTGCAGCCGCGTCTACGTGCTGGGTCATGCAGGCACAGGGGCGGCCTTGCAGGTAGTGATTGAGGCGGCACCGCCCCACACACCACCAGAAAGTGGGCTGTTTGTTTGCCGCCTCATACGCCCGCACCAGCCGCTCGCAGGCCCAGCTGGCAATCGTGTCGGAGGAGCTTAGGTCAGCGACGCAGCAGCTGTGCCGAAACCTGAAGGACAACCTCAATGTTGCGGACAACATGGCCAAGGCGCGAGCAAAGCAAAAAACTGGGTTTTGTTTGGGAGGGTGCGATGACTGCGGGCGCTTGTGGTGCGCGGCAAACAGGGCAGTCGCTGTGCTCAAAGGGAGGGCAGGTTAAGGGGCAGCACAGTGCAGCTGTTGGCTCGGCTTTCCAGTCCAGTTGCGAACCTGCTAGGTGATTAGCATGGCTTTATCAAAAGACCCTCTGCACAACTGTTGTTTGCTGCACGTTCTTGGAAGATATAGCGGCTCTCTCAGGTGCCGCAGCACACAGCATCTCAGAGATCTGACCCAGCCCCGTACCGCGTCCGCCTGGTCCCCCCTCCTCTGACAACCTGTTAGTGACCCACCACATGCACAGATTGCCCACCAGAGGGCGTCGCTGGTCGCGCTGCTGTCTGCGACGCTCAGGTCCCTGGATGGCGCCATGGACGGCCAGGCGAGCGTGCTGCCGGTGGTGGAGGCTGTCAACGGGTTCGAGCAGGAAGAGGTGAGCGCCGCTGGTGAGGTGGCCGCCTGGTGCATGCGTACGTCCTTGGGAACTAGCGAAGAAGGGCTGGCTGGATAGGCGAATCGACGCCCATAATGATTGCACCGCTTGCTGTCAGTAATGTGCATGGACGAGTGGGCGTGGATTGTTGGACCTGCTTGGAGCCTGGGTGACCTGGTGCTCAAGGGCATGACACATGCACACAAACACTCGCACACACACGCGTGCACACACAGACGTGCACACCCACACACACACACACACACACACACACACACACACAGGCCAGGGCCCGCGAGCTGGTTGAGGCGGAGCGCGCGGCCAGCGCGGCAGTGCGATCGCTGCGCCAGGATCTGAAGGACGAGAGGGCGGCGCACGAGGTTGCGGTAAGTGGGGCACGCGCATGCTGGAGCTTGGCCGTGAAGTTTAAAGGGCTGGTGCGGGGGAGCGCACAAAGGAGCAATCAGAAGTGGAGAGGTGGCTGGTGGTGCGATGAGCTGGCGCTGGCCTGTGGTGGTGCAGCCGTGTTTTTGTGTCTTGCCCTTGGGTGCCGCTGTTGGTCTGATGACCGCAATCGTCCATGGGTGCACACCCGACGCTCACAGATGCAGGAGCGGCGGCTGGCTCTTGCGTCGCTGAAGGAGCAGCTGCGGGGCGACAAGCTGCGGTTGGCGGTGGAGGGCAGGTGCGCGCACAGCGGATGCAGGTTGTCAATGCTGACTGTTTGGGCACGGATTGGTGGAACCTCCGCAAAGGGCAGATCCACACCCATTTGTTTGCAGCAACACCTGTCTTCCCCCGCCAGGCCCCCCCAGCCTTGACTCATTGCCACGACTCAACAGGCCCTTGCCCCTCCATCTCACTCGACCCGGTCTCTCCCCTCAGTCGACCCGCACCGCTCGCCCCCGCTGTGACAGGTACCTCGAAAAGGACCTGGCGGCCTCCAGCCAGGCCGCGCGCCGCCTGCAGAGCGCGGAGCTGGAGGCCGCCTCCAACCGCCTCGCGCTGCTCCGCCAGCAGATCGAGATCGAGCGCAGCATCGGCGCGGCCGCCACGGAGCACCTCGGGCGCGCGGCTGCGGCGCGGCAGGACGACGCGGTCGGGTGGGGATCGAGGCGGGAGGAGGACGTGCATGCAAAAGAGCGGCAAATCGAGGTGGGGCGGGTGGAGGCAAAGTGGCATCGGTGGGGAGGCGGCTCCCTTGCTGATTCGCCTTTTGCAGAGCCTGCTTGACCTGTCACGCGCAGCACTGCGCGGGTGTGCTGCTTTATGCTTGTGCTTCCATCTGCATGCTTCAAGTTGCCGCGCCAGCCAAGCTGCACTCAAGATGCCCTTGATTTCCCCTGCCCGTTGCTCTGGTGCAATCACAGCTGGTCCGGGCGCAGCACCAACGCGATGCCATGCGCTTGAAAGACATGGAGGGGCGCCTGGCAGAGGAGCAGGAGCTGAAGGTGGGTGGGGCCTGCCGTCATGCGCAGCGTACGTCATGCAGCGGGAAGAGCGCTGCCCTCGCAGCGCAGCCACCGCTGCGCAGACACGCGGCGGCCGCTGCCTCCTCACGGAACAGGCGGCCAATGCATCGGCAGGATTCAAGGTGGCTTGTGCCGCATGTCTCTCGCTTGGTGGCTAATCAAAGCTGTACATGACATTGCAGCCACAAAGCGCATGTGCTGGCTGCCACAGCCTACCTAGAGGACCATCATCAGGGAACACCGCTGTGCACTGCAGAACAGAAAATGCACACACCGTTAAGCGCCGCAACGACATTCATTTTGTTCGTTGCGCTTGTACCCAGGCGCGACGAGACGATCGCAAGAGGGCCGAGGCGGAGGCTGCAGAGCGCGAAGCTGCTGACGCAGTGCGAAGGCTGCGGGCAGCAGTCAAGATCCAGGCAGCGTGGCGTGGTTGCAAGGTGCGTGTACCAAGTGCAACGAACGCACACGGTGTGGATGTATCAGACGCAACAGGCTCCAGCGCGTGTGGGAGTGAAGTTGAAATGGTCATGTCTGGCCCGGTGCCCCCTGCCACTACTGCTTATTGTGCACGACAGCTCAGGGCAAACATCGCCCAGACATAACGGGTATATGACTCCCGCCCTATGCCATGTCGGGCAGCGACTTCACTTGGGCTGGTACCAAGTCGCCCCAGGGCGTGCTGTTCATGACGACTGCTTGCTTGAGCACCCGCAGAATCTTGTGTGTGTGTGTGTGTGTGTGTGTGTGTGTGTGTGTGTGTGTGTGTGTGTGTGTGTGTGTGTGTGTGTG